CTTATTGATGACATTGTCCCCTGCAAAGTGTACAGGCCAGCATTTCTGTCTGGCAGGTCTCAGATGTCTGCAGTGGAAGTTAGAGAGACCCAGGCCATAGCACGCCTCATGGTGCATGTGGAGCACCTCATTCGCCGAGTCAAAGAGCACAAGTTATTTGACTCTGAAATTCCCCTTGGTGCTTTTGGGAGAATCAACCAACTGTTCACTGTTGCTTGTCTACTCACAAATTATGAAAATGGCCCACTAGTAAAGGCCTGGGCAAAGAAGCCTGACATCTGAGTAATAGCAAGAAAGTATACTATATATTTACTTTTCATTTTGTTATTTTTGTATTTAAAATAAAAGTAAATCACTTTCATAAATATCTACATTTCTTATACTTTTTTCCCATTACATCAGTTCTTATATAATGTTTTTTCATATAAGTCGAGCCTTCGTGTGGGACATTAAAATGCATCTTTTCAAATGCCTGCAAAGTACCGTAGCATGATTACAGGGGCAGATATAAGTTTCTACTCTTTTTCATTCATGATTTTTCTTTTTTCTTTTGGTATCTATATATATATATATAAATATAATAGGAATTAATAAAATGAATAAATACATGAAAAATATTTTATGTTAAGTAATATGCTGTTAATCATATAATTAAATGCACTAACAATGGCTCTTCCTGGAACTCCAAAAAGTATCAACTGTTCTTGCTAAAAAAAAAAAAAAAAAATAATGCCACTCATCTAGAGCAAAAATGTTGAAACAGAAACAGTTTGCAAAGAGGGTACGATTACGACAGTCAAGTAGCAAATTTCATACAGAATAAATTGTATCAGACCTTAAACAGAAATAACTCTTAACTGATTAAAACTAAAATAAAATAAAAGGAACATGACTCAGGTATTAACAATATATTTAATCACGTATATTCAAAGGTTTTGCTTTACAATGCCACTTTAATTGACCAGGCAAGCACTGAGGTAAAAATAAAAAAAGAAATGGTCAACCTTTTGTTTTATGGTTTGCAGTACTTCCATGTCACGAGGAACCCTCTCAATGAACAGGTCATTTTCTGTGTAAATGACAAAGTCACACCAGTCACACCCTGAAATCAACATTTGTTCCTGGATCTGCCAGTAATATGGATGTGTTCGTTTGAGTGTCTGCCTACCATCCCTAATCATTATGTAACAGCAGTCCACCCAGCTTGTCACATTTGGGCATTTTATTTATAAAAGGCCTAACGGTTGTTGCTCCTCAGGATCGTAAATAATTCCGTCTGGTGATGTCCCCATCCATGGTGCGTCAGGATGGATCAGGAACCCACAGGGGTAGTGGTTGACTTCCCTTACCCTGCAGTACTCCTCTACTGCTGTTGGCTCTAAGGCAAGCCCCCGCCGCAGGTCAGCAGTCTGACTGGAGGGTCTCAGAAGCCTTTTGGCAAGATTTTCAGAAGAGCTGTCACCCCTGGTGTGACAGACCTCCCTAAATCTTGTTGAGGTAACACGACACTTTCTTAGTTGGTGCCACTCTGCACAGAAACTCTGCTCCCGCGTGCTGCTCTCAATTTTGTGAGACATCTCTAATGTTGTCTCAAGGGACGTCATATGGTGGTGCTCTTGTTCTGAACAAACATACTCACAGGTGGAGGGTTCAAGCCTGTAATTGAAGAGTGGAAGCTGTGGGGGAGAAGGGGCGTCTTGGTGTGGACGGGTCCTGGGAACTATCCTTGCTGGCAGCTGATATGACAGAACGCTTCCCTCTTGTACTGGACCAAACAAAGAGTCAACAAGAGGGACATCGTTGGAGACAGCCATTGTGGTGATCATTGGAGCTTCTTCAGCTGGAAGTCCCCGGTACACATCCTGTATCCTTAGGGTGGAGATGAGTGGAAGAGGGCTGGTAGCACCTTTATACAAGTTGCTTCTGTGGAGAAAAAGAAAACTATGTCATAAACAAGAAATGAATATTCAAATGATAAAATTAATATTAAATGAAGCCTATGTTATTGTATTTTAGGGATTCAAATTATTGTCTTGTTTAAAAACGAAGTTGAATTATTTACTTATTTGCATTTTTAAAGTATTTCTAATATAGTACAAAATAAACTTCCATCCATCCATTATCTTTTACTCGCTTCTTCCATTTTGGGTCACTGAGAACATGCAAACTCCACCCAGAAAGGCCCCGGACTGGGATTTGAACCAGCAACCTTCTCGTTGAGAGGCAGCAGCTCTACCAGTTGCACCACCGTGCTGCCCACAAAATTAACTTAAGTGGTTAAATTAAGTTTTTGTTGTACATGTGTTCTGTTTTGGGCAGCACGGTGGCGCAACTGGTAGAGCTGCTGCCTCTCAGCGAGAAGGTCCTTGGTTCAAACCCCGGTCCAGGGGCCTTTCTGGGTGGAGTTTGCATGTTCTCTCCGTGCATGCGTGGGTTTTCTCCGGGTACTCCGGTTTCCTCCCACAGACCAAAAACATGCATGTTAGATTGATTGGTAACTCTAAATTGTCCCTAGGTGTGAGTGAGAGAAAATGGTTATTTGTCTCTATGTGTCCCTGTGATGGACTTGCGACCCGTCCAGGGTGTACCCTGCCCCTCGCACAGTGATTGCTGGACATGGGCACCGGCGACCCCCGTGACCCAAAATGGAATAAACGGGTAAAGATAATGGATGGATGGATGGATGTGTTCTGTTTTGTTTTTAAATTAAATTAATTTAAAAAAAATTGTGCATGTGTGTCTGTGGTCTTAAAATTAAAACAAACCTAATTCCTTCAAAGATTTTCCTCTCTCTTGGTCTTGCTGACAGGACGACCATGTCATTTACTAGACCAGGTTTTATGCCCTGCATCCAAAAACAACATTGCTGTAAATATTGAACTAAAATTCATAAACAGGATTAAAGACTCATGTATATGTAGTTACCATTGTCCTTGGTTTATGCCACTTCTGTTGGGTATCTGTGCAGCTTAGGACTGGAGGTACAGCTGGAAGCTTCAACTGGGAGTAGTGAGCCGTCTGGAATAGCAGAGCTGCCACATGGCTGCACAAGACTGTACCTGCCACACAGGTGCACTGGCACCCCTGAAACTCCACCGGCTTTGATTCCCTCAGCACCATCTGTGTACAATACCAAATATTTGTTAAGAGACCAAAATGTACCAGCTCCAAGTGCTATTATAAAAAGACAACCATAATTATAAAACCATTAATAAACCTTTTAAGTAATCATTAAAAATGATCAAAGTGAAATGAGAAAAATGTTAAGACACCTTTAGCATGTAAAATGTATTAAAATATATTTTGTCTAAGCTCACTTTACTCATTAAACTAAAAAGAACTCCAAACACAATCTCATTTCTGTGAGAACCATCACTGTTATATTCTTTCTGATACTCCCTAAGTTCATGTATTACATGACAACCCAGGTGCCATTTGATGCAGTTCAATCATATTCTTCTTCTTTATTTTTTTGTTGCAGTGACAGAATTCACAGAAACTTGATTTGAAAATAACAAACCTGAAGCAACTGTTCCTTTGTGTACCTCAGAAATAAATAAATAAAATAAACACAAGTTGGGCTTTTTTTGTTGCTTTAATCAATCAGAGATAACTTGTGTAGCCAATTAATGTTATGTGATTTAGTTTGACTATCATATATAAAATGTGTACTTCTTCAAAGTCCTTCTAGCTTCTTAAAACACAGCCCTGTAGTGAACATGTCGGGTCTCTTTGACTTACACTCAAACAATGGGGCTTCTGGAACGGAAACACTCAGCCCTAACTGTGACTTCTCCTGCGTCCTTGTTTGAAACTAAGATTTGTGTTAAACAGAAACATTGTAGAGACAAAACACTTAACGTTTACGCAACAATTTTGCAAGATTAGCCATGTTAGCTGTGTTATATGTAGCCTATATGAGGCAGTTTGGTGAACTGAAAAACAAATACGACTTACCTTCATAGTTATTTATGTAGTTGGACACATAAAGCTTAAATCCTTTGTCCTTTTTGGATGTGGGTGCTTTCGAGGACGTCTGAATAATTCTGTAGACATCATTAACAGACATTGTCAGCAAGTCCTGCAGCGAACGAGTGGAAAAACGCCATTACTAACACTGTGTTGCCTGAGAGCCGGACGTGTTCAGCGTGGCTAATAAATGCGGAAGCGCTAGAACGGAAGTCCGTGGCATATAGTCCATTCTTCCGGATGCATGTAAACACTAAGTCCGTCCATGTCAACGCAGATCTTTTCCTCTAATTAACATACGAAAAAACCTACGTTTACCCCACCGTGTCCATGTAAATAGGGCCTTAGAGGAATTATCATGTTCTTGCTGCTGTTGTTTGGCGCATTGTTTTGTACTATTAGTGCTTAGTATATTCTTAGTTTAGCGTATTTCTTGGTTCATGTCTTGGATCTTATTACTGTTTTTCTTTACAATTTGTATTTTTGTTGGATGTAACTGGGACCCTGTGTACATAGTTTTGTTCCACCTCATGTATCACATGTGGTGTGAATGACAATATAGACACCTTGACCTTGATATCACAGCTTTGTCGAGTCAATCATGCGGCGACGCCAATCTGAGGCAGAATCCAGCATGGAGGTAGTGAGGATTTAATTATATAAGACAATTGTTCAGCGGGGCTGACGGGGTCCCTGCAGAATGCAGTTCACCGATTTGCCGCCATGTCCCAGCCTTTTTTTCCCGTTTTGAACATCTCGTCTTGAGTCCGAGTTTGCATGAGTCGGGCAGTCGGTCAGTTTTAGCAGTGTTTGTTTGATTCAGTGTTTTTATATCTGTTATATCGCTTTCATCTTCATGTTCTCAGCAGGTGGAGACTCAAGAGACACCAGAAGTGAGTGGAGAGAAAGTTTTCAGCCAGACCACAAAGACACTGCTTCAAAGGTAGCTTCCAACCTCCTGTTGTAATACGGCACTTAAGACGAATAATAATTACAAGTAGCTCTTGTGTTGCATAAAAGCTGCATGAAAGTGAAAAATCTTGTTCACGTATAGATTTCATCTTCACTTGACAGCTGATGATTTTTCATTTTCAACGCAAAATTATTATTTTTTTTTTTCTGATTCAACCTTATTTCTACTGGTTAGTCTCAATGAGTCACGAGGACTCATTTACAAGAGAGACCTGTTTTAGGCAGACAACAAATAAAGTACCAACAACAATAAACAACATAAACAGGGAGGCTTAAGAGCGTGATTCCCCTGTAGTTGGAACACACTCCACGGTCCCCCTTTTTGAATAGGGGGACCACCACCCCGGTCTGCCAATCCAGGGGAACTGGGCGAATCTCATCCACTCCCAGGGCCCTGCCACCAAGGAGCCGGATGGTGGACCAGAATTGCCTCAAAGCCATACGGAAGTCATTCTCCATGGCCTCTCCGAACTCCTCCCACACCTGAGTTTTTACTTCAGTGACCAACCGAGCCGCATGTCGCTTGGACTGCCGGTACCCATCTGCTGCTTCTTGGGTCCCACAGGCCAAAATGACCAATCGGCGACCTCAATTTATCCCAAAGGTAAACACCCCTTGTCTGTGGAGCTGACTGCAGCCTCTCAGGGTGGACGTTTGAGTATGAAATCTCAACACTGCGGCCACTGCGCACAGTTTCCGTGCGGCTGACAGGACGCGCGAGTATACTGGAGCCTTAAGTCTGACTGAATGATGTCAAATGCAAACTGTAGAATCTGGAAAAACCTTGACAACCTTGGTCTTAGCTTGACAATAAACAACTGTATCATCGGCATAGAGATGTAAGGAGGCGTCAGGAATGTTTTGACCTACATTATTTGTATAAATTGTAAAGAGAGTGGATCCTAAAACTGAGCCTTGTTGCACACAATTATTTCATGATTTTCTCCCTCTTTCTGTTTTCTTTGTGTACGTCCAGATTGCCGAACACTATGGCTCAGAACCTGTCTGTCCCCCTGGCATTTGTTGCTCTGCTTCATCTGGCCAATGAAAAGGTGAATGTCTTTTAAACACATGTTCAATGCTTATTATGCACTAGCCATGTTAATGTGGCATGTTCTGCTCATTATGGTCCGAGCAAAATCTAGACTCAAACAAGGCTAAATGTCCAGCTAAAACTCCGGAACACTTGGAAATTCCTGGAGAACAGAGTTTTTGGGTGTACACTTGGTGGTGCACATTCATGCATAATGAACATTCAATAAGCTGTAGATGAAAGCAGGTGCTGCAGATTTAAGGAGAGTCAGGAGGAGGCTGTTTTCTATTTGGAGACTTTTTAAACAGTGTTTTTGCTGTTTTTTTAATTGGGCTCTAGCAGTGAAGCGCTGAAGTGCTGCGAAGGCCTATGGTAATCGCTCAGTTCATTAGGCCCGAGCAATTTTTCCGTCAAATGAATTAGCCTTTTGGGGCCTTAACATATCCCAAAACTCAACAAATTTGGCGAACGCATCAGGACTGCTGAAAATTTACGTATTTTAAGGGCGTTGCAAAAATTGCAACAGAAACGGCTCGAGCGCCTCCTGGAAATTTTCAAAATACCCTCCGCATTAACCTTAGTTCTATTTCGTATATGCTTCGCCCTTTAAGGCTATCGCTAGTGGGTTTATCCCTTCACTCGCAGCACTGAAAACTTTAGTCCATGCCCACCAGCTGTGTGGGCTCCACTCCCGGTCCGTATAAATTACGGTGAGACCGGCCAATCGGCTCCCATTTTTTCTTCAGCCAGCTAGCTAGCACTGTCAGAAGAACGAAGAAGAAAAAGATGTCCAGCAACACGTACGAAGGATGCCTGGGTCCCACCACGCCGACCTCGCCACCTCCTGCCGTCCCTGTGAGCTCCTTTCTCCAGAGGAGAAGCAGAGACGAGCAGCCTTGTTCAAGGTAAATGCCAAGGAGTGTTCTTCGTGGTGGGTCGCTACTCGCTGGACAACGCCATTGCCTTTTTTAATGCATTTTAGCGTGGTGAATTGGATGATCCCACTGAAAAAGGCGATAATGGCAGCAGCCCCCACTGCGCCCTCCCTCATGGAGAGCGTAGTGACGGAAGATGGACAGCTGAGTGAATGCTCAGCCACCTCGGGTCTTCCTATGTCGGCGACCACTTCGCTCCCAGTCGTCTGCACCCTCCAATTGGAATTGCCCGGCATAATCTAGGAGGCTGCTGACACAAAGGGACTTTCCGCCCCGGCTCGTCGCCATGCCCCCGTCTGGCCTTGCTTTCCAGCTATGACATCATACTGGAACGAGGCTGCAGCTGGGCCTGGCAAGCTGAAGGCGCCCATCTCCACCTTCACCCCCATCACCAAAGTGGAGGGCTTTACTGAGCGGGGTTTTCTTTTGGGTCCCTCTCTGGAGCCAAGCTTTGCGGAGACGTTTGGGACAAAGGCTTCCAGGATAGACTATTGACCTGTCCCTCCAGGGAAGCACGACCAGACCATCACAAAGCTCTCCAACCAAGCTCATCAGTGCTCATTCTAGGCAGCCGCGGCAAACATCAACATCGCCCTGCTGGCTTTCAGCATTTCGAAGAGGCTGGAGGAAGCAGACCTGCCAGAGGAAACAAAGAGCTTCCTCTGTAAAGCCGCTAACTTCATCCTCAACCTGTGCGCCACCTCTGCGGTCTGTCTGTCCCACATCACCGCTTGGATGACCATGATCCAGAGAACCACCTGGCTCCGCCTCTCGCCATCCTTACCCGAGAGGCTGCAGAGAGACCTGCTGGAGGGCCTCATCTCCCCAGAGACGCTGTTCGGGGCCAACTTCAGGACCTTCCTTGATAAATCGCAGAGGTCCGAGGAGGTCTCAGAGACGGTACACCATCTGGTGATGTCACAGTCCTCCTCCCGCTCCTCCGGCCGCTGGAGGGACCGCCGTGGCCAGCGACAGCAGCAGAGACACTCCACAGCTGTGGCAGCGACTTCACGCTGCGCTCCTCCGCCAGCCCCCTCCACCATGGAACAGCTCCTTGAGGGGAATGTGTGTGTTTTTGATGATGTAGTTTCGAAATAAAACAGAAACATCCCTGAGAGTAAAGTTTCATCTGATTCCAGCCTGACTGTCAGATCAACTGATCTCACAGCTGTCTCTCTTCACACATTCCCCACACAGAACAAGCCTGTAATCTCTAAATCTCTAATCTCTAAACAGCATTTTAAAAGGCACCACAGCTCGGTAAATCTCACAAAACACTCGTCTGCCACGTCAGCTAAAAATTATGTTTTTCAGCAGACCAAGTCCGGGAAAATCCCTTGCTCTCAGCCAGAGCCCGTTTTATTTTCTGCTGTTTCTGCCCACTCACCATGCAGCGGGAGTAAACATGTTTCTCCACGACAGCTGCAGCCTCTACTGAAACAGCGTCTCACTAAAAAAACCGTTCATGCCTCCTCTCATTGTGCGCCGGCTCACCTCAGCTCTAATGTGAGACCGCAGCCTGGGCCCAGCACAGAGACACACATACAGCCCTTTCTGTCGGAGCCCTCCCCCCCCAACCCCCGGAGAATATCCGGAGCAGGTGACGGCGATAGGGGCTTTAGCCTGGTTGACGTCCATGAGAAACATGACACAACACAAAAAACGTGTGCCCGCTCTCCGTGTGTTACTCAGAGTGGCAGCGAGTGTGTTCCCTGGACAGATGGATGGACCGTGTGATCAGCAGGGGTTTCACACTGCAGTTCGCAGCTCAACCCCCACCATTCAGAGGGATTATAGAGACAGTTCTGTTATCTTCAGAACATAGCTTGTCTCTCCAGTCAGAAGGTCAGGAACTTCTGATGAAAAACGTGATTGCCAGAGTTCCCAACGGAGAGGAAAATATGGGGTTTTACTCCCACCCACTACTTCCTGGTTCCGAAAAAAAACTGAGGGATGAGACCCATTCTTGACCTGTCCATGTTCAAAAAAAATTTATCATGCAGAGACAATTTCACATGCTGACAATCAAACAGCTGCTGGAGAACGTTCACCAGAACGACTGGTTCACCTCCATAGAGCTGAAGGATGCATCTTTTCACATTCCCATCATTCCGAAACACAGGAAATTCCTGCGTTTCTCCTTCCAGGGGTTTCTGTAGTAGTACAGGCTACCGTTCGGTTATTCCCTCGCCCCACACATGTTCTTAAAATGTGTGGAGATGGCTCTGCAGCCGTTACACATTGCAGGAATGAGAAAACGCTACCGTTACACCTGCTAAATCTGGGGTTTTCTATAAACTGGAAAAAGAGTATCGTTCTCCTGTCCCAGATGATTGTTTATCTGGGAGTGGAGCTAAACTCAACCACAATGAGAGCCCGTTTATCACAGCCAAGAGCCGACGTTCTGTCAGCTCAGCTCTGCTGTGTCAAACTCTGCAGTGTAGTGACAGCTCTGTCTGTCATGCGACTCCTGGGGATGGTGTCAGCGACTCATGTCGTGGTTCTGCTGGGCCTGCTTCACATGAGACGCCTTCAGAGATGGTTCGCCCACCTGCGCATAGATCCTGTGCGTCAGAAGAGGCGGATGATCTCTGTGCCCCCCTCCGTGAGAACCAATCTGAATCACTGGGGAAACCCCCTCATTCAGTCAGGGAGTTCCCATCAGCAGGACTACGTCACACATCTCAGTTTTCACAAATGCGTCCCTGTCAGGCTGGGTAGGAACGTGTCTGTCCCAGGCAGTGGGAGCACAGTGACCGGACCACATGTTGCTTCACATAAATGAGCTAACACATCTCACGGTCTAGAACATGACTCAACATTTTGCTCCCCTGCTGCGGGATCAGCATGTTCTGATCCACACAGACAACAGAGTGATGGCAGCTTTCAAATACCGTCAGGGAGACGCGTGCTCAGCCCAACTGTTACGCATTGCGAGACAGCTGCTGTGTTGGGCACACAAAAACCTGCTCTCCATCAGAGCAATGTACATTCCCGACATCCTGAACAGGGGAGTGGACATCATGTCGAGGGGCGGTCCCCGCCACAGGGACTGGAGCCTCCATCCCGAGCTGATTTTTTGGATTTGGAGCAGGTTCGGCCTAGCAGCAGTGGATCTGTTCGCCACACGGGAGAACACCCAGTGTCAGGTATGGTTCTCACTGAGTCCACGGGACAACCCACCGTTAGGGGTAGACGCCTTCGCTCACAGCTTGTGGCCAAAAATGCTCCTTTATGCATTCTCTCCAGTCCCGCTGATATCACGGACCCTGAACGGGTCCGGGAGAAAGAACTGTTAGTCATCCTCGTAGCTCCCGAGCGCATAAGCGCCCCAAGGTTCCCGAATCTGCAGCGACTGATATCAGGCCGGCCGTGGAAACTGCCGTGGAGGGGGGACACTCTCCTCCAGGCAGGAGGAGCGGTCAGGAGTTACCCAGAAATTGATTAGCACCTTTGGGTCTGGCCGTTGAACGGCTCTGTTTAGAAAGGATGGGCATCCCACAGGATGTGGTGCGTACGATCCAGGGCGCACAAGCCGCTTCCACCACAGGGCTGTACACATCAAAGTGGACAGTTTTTCAGCGCTGGTGCGCAAAGAAAGGCGTGGAGGCCATCTCATGTCCAATAGGTGGTGTTCTGGCATTTCTGCAGCAGCTGATGGACAGAAATTTAGCGTTCAGCACAATTAAAACTTATGCTGCTGCTGTCTCTTCCTGTCATGAGGGTTTCGGTGACAGAACATTTTTTAACCACCCGCTGATGAAGCGTTTTCTGAAAGCTGTACAGAGAACCAGACCTGTGTCCCGTCCACTAGCTCCACAGTGGGATCTAACGATGGTCCTGCGCGCTCTGATCAAAGCACCTTTTGAGCCTTTAGACTAGGTTTCACTTAAATTTCTGACACTTTAAACAGCCCTGCTGTTAGCTCTGACATTGGCAAAGAGAGTGAGTGATTTATCTGCTCTCTCTGTTGCCCCCTCATGTCTCAGAATTCAAGCTGATGGCAGTTCAGCTGTGCTGCGTCCTGACCCTGCTTTTACTCCTAAAAGCATCAGAAGCTCATTCAGATTGAGAGTGATAACCT